GCCACAGACGAGTCTATGGGTGGAGGTGACAGCCACAGACAAGTCTATGGGTGGAGGTGACAGCCACAGACAAGTCTATGGGTGGAGGTGACAGCCACAGACGTGTCTATGGGTGGAGGTGACAGTCACAGACAAGTCTATGGGTGGAGGTGACAGCCACAGACAAGTCTATGGGTGGAGGTGACAGCCACAGACAAGTCTATGGGTGGAGGTGACAGTCACAGACGAGTCTATGGGTGGAGGTGACAGCCACAGACGAGTCTATGGGTGGAGGTGACAGCCACAGACGTGTCTATGGGTGGAGACGACCAGCCAACAATCCTTAACACTCCACAATTCACGCAGCAGTAATTAGCGTCCTGGTTGTAAGTGGATTGGCGAGTCGTGTCCCAGGACCAATCAGCAGAGAAAGACTTACCGGGGTTGAGGGAAGGGAAATGTGAAGACCTGCTAACACGAGCCAGAAGTGTCGACTCCAGCACCCACCTGCGGGGAAAGGAAACAAAAATGGTGAAGCATTTGTCGGTGAGTGAGTGTTGCTGGCCCTCAGGTCTCCTGGTAACACATGATATGGCCAAGCCAACCCGTTCTCGCACTTTCGTATAGTCAATATTGACTTATTAAGTAAGTGCATATGTGATATACTAATTTATTATGAATATTTAAGTTTCCCTTTAAAAGCTTCATAGAAAACACCGACCTCACCTAACCTTCTTAGTATGTTAAGATAAGCATCTTATTGCTTCGTAATTACAATTATTATCTAACCTATTATAAGTATAGGTTAAGTAATAATTGTAATTACGAAGCAATAAGATGCTTATCTTAACATACTAAGAAGGTTAGGTAAGGTCGGTGTTTTCTATGAAGCTCTTCAAGGTAAACTAGTATGTTTAGTATGTCACATATGTACGTATTTAATAAGTCAATATTGACTGTAAGAAAGTGCGAGAACGGGTTGCACATTCTCACCTCAATACACCAATATGTTCAAAATACGATGACTTAGTACAACTGAAAACACCATAATAACGACGTTTTCTATACACGGGCCTCGATAAGTTAGGTTGAGGTGGGTTGCTTGGGTTGGTCCGTTTATGGTTATGAATTACAGTTAGTTAACTGTCAGGGAGGATGGTTTGTGTCCCCCCTCACCCCCCCCCCACCCCCCACCCCCCACACACCCTCACTCTCCCCCACACACCCTCACCGTGTGTGTGTGTGTGTGTGTGTGTGTGTGTGTGTGTGTGTGTGTGTGTGTGTGTGTGTGTGTGTGTGTGTGTGTGTGTGTGTGTGTGTGTGTGTGTGTGTGTGTGTGTGTGTGTGTGTGTGTGTGTGTGTGTGTGTGTGTGTGTGTGTGTGTGTGTGTACTCACCTAATTGTACTCACCTAATTGTGCTTGCGGGGGTTGAGCTCTGGCTCTTTGGTCCCGCCTCTCAACCGTCAATCAACTGGTGTACAGATTCCTGAGCCTATTGGGCTCTATCATATCTACATTTGAAACTGTGAATGGAGTCAGCCTCCACCACATCACTTCCTAATGCATTCCATTTGCTAACTACTCTGACACTGAAAAAGTTCTTTCTAACGTCTCTGTGGCTCATTTGGGTACTCAGCTTCCACCTGTGTCCCCTTGTTCGCGTCCCACCAGTGTTGAAAAGTTCATCCTTGTTTACCCGGTCGATTCCCCTGAGGATTTTGTAGGTTGTGATCATGTCCCCCCTTACTCTTCTGTCTTCCAGTGTCGTGAGGTGCATTTCCCGCAGCCTTTCCTCATAACTCATGCCTCTTAGTTCTGGGACTAGTCTAGTAGCATACCTTTGGACTTTTTCCAGCTTCGTCTTGTGCTTGACAAGGTACGGGCTCCATGCTGGGGCCGCATACTCCAGGATTGGTCTTACATATGTGGTGTACAAGATTCTGAATGATTCCTTACACAGGTTCCTGAACGCCGTTCTGATGTTAGCCAGCCTCGCATATGCCGCAGACGTTATTCTCTTTATGTGGGCTTCAGGAGACAGGTTTGGTGTGATATCAACTCCTAGATCTTTCTCTCTGTCTGTTTCATTAAGTACTTCATCTCCTATTCTGTATCCTGTGCCTGGCCTCCTGTTTCCACTGCCTAGTTTCATTACTTTGCATTTACTCGGGTTGAACTTCAACAGCCATTTGTTGGACCATTCACTCAGTCTATCCAGGTCATCTTGTAGCCTCCTACTATCATCCTCTGTTTCAATCCTCCTCATAATTTTTGCATCGTCGGCAAACATTGAGAGGAACGAATCTATACCCTCTGGGAGATCATTTACATATACCAGAAACAGTATAGGTCCAAGGACTGACCCCTGCGGGACTCCACTTGTGACGTCTCGCCAATCTGAGACCTCACCCCTCACACAGACTCGTTGTCTCCTGTTGCTTAGGTATTCCTCTATCCACCGGAGTACCTTCCCTCTCACTCCAGCCTGCATCTCCAACTTTCGCACTAGCCTCTTGTGTGGCACTGTATCAAAGGCTTTCTGACAATCCAAAAATATGCAGTCTGCCCACCCTTCTCTTTCTTGCCTTATTTTTGTTGCCTGGTCGTAGAATTCAAGTAACCCTGTGAGGCAGGACCTGCCATCCCTGAACCCATGTTGATGCTGTGTTACAAAGTTCCTTCGCTCCAGATGCTCCACTAGTTTTTTTTCGCACAATCTTCTCCATCAGCTTGCATGGTATGCAGGTTAGGGACACTGGCCTGTAGTTCAGTGCCTCCTGTCTATCCCCTTTCTTGTATATCGGGACTACGTTAGCTGCTTTCCAAGTATCTGGCAGTTCCCCTGTTGCCAGTGATTTGTTATACACTATGGAGAGTGGTAGGCTCAGTTCTCTTGCTCCTTCCTTTAGAACCCAAGGGAGATTCCATCTGGGCCTATAGCCTTCGTCACGTCCAACTCTAGTAAACACTTCCTTACTTCCCCACTGGTAATCTCAAACTCTTCCAGTGGTTCCTGGTTAGCTATTCCCTCACTTACCTCTGGAATTTCTCCTTGTTCTAAGGTGAAGACCTCCTGGAATTTCTTATTCAATTCCTCACACACTTCCTTGTCATTTGTAGTGAATCCTTCCGCCCCTATCCTTAATCTCATAACCTGTTCCTTTACTGTTGTTTTTCTCCTAATGTGGCTATGCAACAATTTAGGCTGAGTCTTTGCCTTGCTTGCGATGTCATTTTCGTATTGTCTTTCTGCCTCTCTTCTCATCCTGACATATTCATTCCTGGCATTCTGGTATCTTTCTCTGCTCTCCAGTGTCCTGTTATTCCTATAGTTTCTCTATGCCCTTTTACTTTGCTGCTTAGCTAGCCTACATCTTTGATTAAACCATGGGTCCTGTGTGTGTGTGTGTGTGTGTGTGTGTGTGACTGTGTGTGTGTGTGACTGTGTGTGTGTGTGTGTGACTGTGTGTGTGTGTGTGTACTCACCTAATTGTACTCACCTAGTTGTGCTTGCGGGGGTTGAGCTTTGGCTCTTTGGTCCCGCCTCTCAACCGTCAATCAACTGGTGTACAGATTCCTGAGCCTACTGGGCTCTATCATATCTACACTTGAAACTGTGTATGGAGTCAGCCTCCACCACATCACTGCCTAATGCATTCCATCCGTTAACTACTCTGACACTGAAAAAGTTCCTTCTAACGTCCCTGTGGCTCATGTGGGTACTCAGTTTCCACCTGTGTCCCCTTGTTGTTCGCGTCGCGCCAGTGTTGAATAGTTTATCCTTGTATTTCCGGTCGATTCCCTTGAGGATTTTGTAGGTTGTGATCATGTCTCCCCTTACTCTTCTGTCTTCCAGTGTCGTAAAGTGCATTTCCTGCAGCCTTTCCTCGTAACTCATGCCTCTTGGTTCTGGGACTAGTCTAGTGACATACCTTTGGACTTTTTCCAGTGTGTGTGTGTGTACTCAGCTATTTGTGCCTGCAAGGTCGAGCTCTGGCTCTTGGACCCGCTATTCTAGCCGTTGGTTGTCTAATACAATGACTCCTGACCTGATCCCTATCATACCTGCTTTTAAAGTTATGAATGGAGTTAGCCTCTACAACCTGCTCCTTTAGGTCATTCCATTTACTCACTTCCCGCATGCTAAAGGAAAACTTTCTAACATCTCTATGACACATCTGAGTCTCCAGCTTCCATCCGGGCCCCCGTGTTCTGTTGAGATTTATTGTAAACATTTCCTGTTTCCTCCTTGTCAATCCCTCTAAGTATTTTATACGTCTGTATCATGACTCCCCCTCTCTCCCGCCTCCTTTCTAACGTCGTCAGGTTTAGTTCCTTCAGTCTGTCTTCGTATCTCATCCCTCGCAACTCTGGGACGAGTCTCGTTGCAAACTTGTGCACCTTTTCGAACTTCCTTAAGTATTGTTTAAGATCGGGGCTGCACGATGGGACGCATACGCCAGGCTGCGAGCAGCCGTGTCTAACAGCCTGGTTGATCAATCCAGCAACCAGGAGGCCTGGTCGACGACCGGGCCGCGGGGACGCTAAGCCCCGGAAGCACCTCAAGGTAACCTCAAGGTATGGGACGGCTGACTCTAAGACTGGCGTCACAGATTTCATGACAAAGTTGTAGCTGCAGTGTGCACAGTAACAGGTTATAATAGTTGTACCTTCAGGCAGGTCATTAACCCGTTGTGAGCGGCCCGGGCACCCGTCCACTGGGGCGCCACACGCCTCCACAACACCACCACTGATCGTGCCTCACCAACACAAGTCTTCACCGGAGACTTCATCACGACATCAGTAGTTATCCCGGCCACTGGCACACGCCTCGTTAATGTTTCCTGAATAATATTGGATGGTAACCATTGACCGTCTGACCTTCAGATTGGCCGCTATCGTCTGGCCCAGATCTGGTGTTAATGAATGACTTGTGTGCTGGGAGCGGCCCGTGTTGCCTAGACCACCTCTTATACTGTGCTGTCAACCCTTCATGGGAGGGTACCCCAGCACTGACACAATGTTGGCGCCGCCTGCACCACCTCTGCCACACCTGCCGTGTGGCTCCCTGGTGTTGGCGCCGCCTGCACCAACTCTGCCACACCTGCCGTGTGGCTCCCTGGTGCTGGCGCCGCCTGCACCACCTCTGCCACACCTGCCGTGTGGCTCCCTGGTGCTGGCGCCACGTTACTCTGCCACACCTGCCGTGTGGCTCCCTGGTGCTGGCGCCGCCTGCACCACCTCTGCCACACCTGCCGTGTGGCTCCCTGGTGCTGGCGCCACGTTACTCTGCCACACCTGCCGTGTGGCTCCCTGGTGCTGGCGCCGCCTGCACCAACTCTGCCACACCTGCCGTGTGGCTCCCTGGTGCTGGCGCCACGTTACTCTGCCACACCTGCCGTGTGGCTCCCTGGTGCTGGCGCCGCCTGCACCACACCTGCCGTGTGGCTCCCTGGTGTTGGCGCCGCCTGCACCAACTCTGCCACACCTGCCGTGTGGCTCCCTGGTGTTGGCGCCGCCTGCACCACCTCTGCCACACCTGCCGTGTGGCTCCCTGGTGTTGGCGCCGCCTGCACCAACTCTGCCACACCTGCCGTGTGGCTCCCTGGTGTTGGCGCCGCCTGCACCACCTCTGCCACACCTGCCGTGTGGCTCCCTGGTGTTGGCGCCGCCTGCACCAACTCTGCCACACCTGCCGTGTGGCTCCCTGGTGTTGGCGCCGCCTGCACCACCTCTGCCACACCTGCCGTGTGGCTCCCTGGTGTTGGCGCCGCCTGCACCACCTCTGCCACACCTGCCGTGTGGCTCCCTGGTGTTGGCGCCGCCTGCACCACCTCTGCCACACCTGCCGTGTGGCTCCCTGGTGCTGGCGCCGCCTGCACCAACTCTGCCACACCTGCCATGTGGCTCCCTGGTGCTGGCGCCACGCTCACCATCTCAACACAACCCTTATATCAGAAATAGAATAATTATCCCTAACAAGGTACACAAAAGGTGACAATACTAGTTGGTATTACGGGCTCACCATAGCCCGTGCTACTTGGGACATTGTTCCAGGTAGCGAATCTTTAACAACAACAACAACTAGTTGGACTAAACAGGTCAACAGCAGTCGAAATCACACTTAATTTGGAGGCATCAATTAACAACCCGTCCTCCAAAAATGGAGAGGTAAATGTAACAGCCCCATAAGTACAATTATGTACTATGTATGCCAGTCAGGAAATGTACTTATTACACTTAGTATTAAAACGTACTGTCAGTTCAGAGGACGGGTTGTACATTGAATACCATTTATCTTGCAAGTTGAATGGTGAGATATATTGTAAACTAGTGTTTAGTTTACCATGAGAGCGGCCATACAGGAAAACATATAATAAAGTTACGATGATTAGATGAGATCATTTGACGTGTGATGAGTTGTGTGAGGGAGATGAGCAGACACAACACTGGCCTCAGTACTCACCACTCACCACTCACCACTCACCACTCATCACTTCACACCACGCCTAAAACCCTCAGGAAACTCTCACAATTTTACCAAAATTCTTAGAAATTGTGTTGCACAAGAACAACAACAACAACAATCTTCTTGCACACTTCACATTATAAATCTGGATTAAAAAAGGATCTTGGCTTAAAGGTTCACGTTTAACGTAAAGGATCACAGCTTAATTAACACAGCCGCCCCCGGCCGACCGAGCGGACAGCACGCTGGACTTGTGATCCTGTGGTCCCGGGTTCGATCCCGGGCGCCGGCGAGAAACAATGGGCACAATTTCTTTCACCCTATGCCCCCGTTACCTAGCAGTAAAATAGGTACCTGGATGTTAGTCAGCTGTCATGGGCTGCTTCCTGGGGGTGGAGGCCTGGTCGAGGACCGGGCCGCGGGGACACTAAAAAGCCCCGAAATCATCTCAAGATAACCTTCTAAACCCCCCCCCCCCATGATGTATCCACACTCTTCCCCATGTTTCTTAGACGACGAGAAGTCATTGTTGTAATGAGAGGACTAATACTGATGTTTACGGAACACCTTCCATGGTGTTGAGCGCTGGTTGGTGGTGGAGACGGACTGACGGTCACCACACACACACCCGACGGCTCTCACAGCGGCATGACAGTGTGCACGCCTACGACCCGACGGCTGTCACAGCGGCATGACAGTGTGCACGCCTACGACCCGACGGCTCTCACAGCGGCATGACAGTGTGCACGCCTACGACCCGACGGCTGTCACAGCGGCATGACAGTGTGCACGCCTACGACCCAGAGCAATTCTTTGGGGGAATTGTGTAAAATCTTTGTTTGTGTCTCGGAGAGGCTGCAGGATCCAAGTAAATTCAGTAGAATTTCTGGTTGTAATTCTTATCCATGTCGTAGCTCAGTCGATTAAGGCAGCGTCTGGGATGCTCTCGGACGTTGGTTCGAATCCTCGTCACGGCCCTTGTGGATTTGTTTATTTAATGAGTAGTTGGGAACACCTCTCCTCGCACTCCTCCCTCTCCTTACCTGGGAGACCAACATAACACCCCACCAACCTGGGAGACCAACATTACACCCCACCAACCTGGGAGACCAACATAACACCCCACCAACCTGGGAGACCAACATTACACCCCACCAACCTGGGAGACCAACATAACACTCCACCAACCTGGGAGACCAACATTACACCCCACCAACCTGGGAGACCAACATTACACCCCACCAACCTGGGAGACCAACATTACACCCCACCAACCTGGGAGACCAACATAACACCCCACCAACCTGGGAGACCAACATAACACCCCACCAACCTGGGAGACCAACATTACACCCCACCAACCTGGGAGACCAACATTACACCCCACCAACCTGGGAGACCAACATTACACCCCACCAACCTGGGAGACCAACATAACACCCCACCAACCTGGGAGACCAACATAACACCCCACCAACCTGGGAGACCAACATTACACTCCACCAACCTGGGAGACCAACATAACACCCCACCAACCTGGGAGACCAACATAACACCCCACCAACCTGGGAGACCAACATAACACCCCACCAACCTGGGAGACCAACATTACACTCCACCAACCTGGGAGACCAACATTACACTCCACCAACCTGGGAGACCAACATTACACTCCACCAACCTGGGAGACCAACATTACACTCCACCAACCTGGGAGACCAACATTACACTCCCACCAACCTGGGAGACCAACATTACACCCCACCAACCTGGGAGACCAACATTACACTCCACCAACCTGGGAGACCAACATTACACTCCACCAACCTGGGAGACCAACATTACACTCCACCAACCCTGGGAGACCAACATTACACCCCACCAACCCTGGGAGACCAACATTACACCCCACCAACCTGGGAGACCAACATTACACCCCACCAACCCTGGGAGACCAACATTACACCCCACCAACCTGGGAGACCAACATTACACCCCACCAACCTGGGAGACCAACATTACACTCCACCAACCTGGGAGACCAACATTACACCCCACCAACCCTGGGAGACCAACATTACACCCCACCAACCTGGGAGACCAACATTACACCCCACCAACCTGGGAGACCAACATTACACCCCACCAACCCTGGGAGACCAACATTACACCCCACCAACCTGGGAGACCAACATTACACTCCACCAACCCTGGGAGACCAACATTACACCCCCACCAACCTGGGAGACCAACATTACACCCCCACCAACCTGGGAGACCAACATTACACCCCACCAACCTGGGAGACCAACATTACACCCCACCAACCTGGGAGACCAACATTACACCCCCACCAACCTGGGAGACCAACATTACACCCCACCAACCCTGGGAGACCAACATTACACCCCACCAACCTGGGAGACCAACATTACACCCCACCAACCTGGGAGACCAACATTACACCCCACCAACCTGGGAGACCAACATTACACCCCCACCAACCCTGGGAGACCAACATTACACCCCACCAACCTGGGAGACCAACATTACACCCCACCAACCTGGGAGACCAACATTACACCCCACCAACCTGGGAGACCAACATTACACCCCACCAACCTGGGAGACCAACATTACACCCCACCAACCTGGGAGACCAACATAACACACCACCAACCTGGGAGACCAACATTACACCCCACCAACCTGGGAGACCAACATTACACCGCACCAACCCTGGGAGACCAACATTACACCCCACCAACCTGGGAGACCAACATAACACACCACCAACCTGGGAGACCAACATTACACCCCACCAACCTGGGAGACCAACATTACACCGCACCAACCCTGGGAGACCAACATTACACCCCACCAACCTGGGAGACCAACATTACACCCCACCAACCTGGGAGACCAACATTACACCGCACCAACCTGGGAGACCAACATTACACACCACCAACCTGGGAGACCAACATAACACCCCACCAACCTGGGAGACCAACATTACACCGCACCAACCCTGGGAGACCAACATTACACCCCACCAACCTGGGAGACCAACATTACACCCCACCAACCTGGGAGACCAACATTACACCGCACCAACCTGGGAGACCAACATTACACCCCACCAACCTGGGAGACCAACATTACACCGCACCAACCTGGGAGACCAACGGGTCCCGGGTGAAAGTGGCACCTCCCCCCTCCCCCTCCCCCTCCCCCCCCCCCCTCCCTTAAGTAGTAAAAAGTGAAATTTCCGTACTGTCTCCTGCAGCTCCCTAGTGGCTGGTGTTGCTTAGTGTTGTTCCTCTTCCTGGCACCTGGGGGGCTCCGGCCCCTTCCTGTGGGGGGGGGGGGGTGCTGGGGAGATGGGGGGGAGCCCTGTATACTCTTGGTCGCTATGGGATAGTTAAAAGAGAGAGAGAGAGAGAGAGAGAGAGAGAGAGAGAGAGAGAGAGAGAGAGAGAGAGAGAGAGAGAGAGAGAGAGAGAGAGAGAGAGAGAGAGAGAGAGAGAGAGAGAGACAGAGAGAGAGAGACAGAGAGAGAGAGACAGAGAGAGAGAGACAGAGAGAGAGAGACAGAGAGAGAGAGACAGAGAGAGAGAGACAGAGAGAGAGACAGAGAGAGAGACAGAGAGAGAGACAGAGAGAGAGACAGAGAGAGAGAGAGAGAGAGAGAGAGAGAGAGAGAGAGAGAGAGAGAGAGAGAGAGAGAGAGAGAGAGAGAGAGAGAGAGAGAGAGAGAGAGAGAGAGAGAGAGAGAGAGAGAGAGAGAGAGAGAGTGTGTGTGTGTTTGTGTGTCTGTACTCACCTAGTTGTTCTTGCGGGGGTTGAGCTCTGGCTCTTTGGTCCCCGCCTCTCAACTGTCAATCAACTGGTGTACAGATTCCTGAGCCTACTGGGCTCTATCATATCTACATTTGAAACTGTGTATGGAGTCAGCCTCCACCACATCACTGCCTAATGCATTCCATCCGTTAACTAGTCTGACACTGAAAAAGTTATTTCTATCGTCCCAAGGGCCAACAGCCTTAGTCACGTCCAGTTCTAAGAAATACCTTCTAACCTCATCTCTAGTAATTTCAATATTTCCAAGGCCAGCTTGGTTTATCGCCTCTCTTAGTTCAGGGACATCTCCTTGCTCTGTCGTGAAGACCTCCTGGAATCTCTTGTTGAGTTCTTCACACACGTCTCATTCTGTGTAACCATCCTCCATCTTTCTCAGTTTCATCACCTGTTCTTTCCCTATTGTTTTCCTCCCGATGTGGCTGTGTAGCAGTCTTGGTTGGGTCTTGACTTTATTGCTATGTCGTTGTCAACCTGTCTCTCTGCTGCTCTTATCACACTGAGGTACTCGTTTCTGCTCTCTGGTGTTCTGTTATTTCTGTAGTTTCTCCATGCCCTTGTTTTTTACCTGCCTAGCTTCCTTACATGTCTGAACTATAGATTCCCCTTTTGGTTTGCTTTTTAGGCCTGGATAAACCTGTTTCTGCCTCGTGACACTTCTGGGTGAT